GATGGATGGATGGGCGGACGGACGGATCCTTCTCATCAATGTCAGCCGCTGCTGGTCCATCAAGTAGGGCAGGATGATCTCGCCCGCCTCGATACTATAGGATATGGTCCGTACCAAACTCTCATTGGGGGTTAGTGTTTCTACGACCGCCATGCACTACCGATACTGCCATGGTGTCTGAACGTACTGCTTCAAACCCAGGGAAGCTGGTCTTCATTGCTACGAGTAGTCGGGCTGAGTTCTTACATCTTGTTAACAGAATTCCACTGCTTTTGCTGAGATCAAACCTATCCACTGCGGGGGAGCAGGAACACGTTTGCTTCTCAGGGTTCAGGATTCAGGGTCCGTGATTCGGGTGGGGCTTAGGGTTTGGAGTTTGGGTTCAGGGCTTGGGTTCCGGATCTGCGAGGATGCACCGGGTATGTCCGGCCTGATGAGCATTCTCCTCCGGCACGAGGATGGAAAACTCAGTCCAATCAAAATAGCACGCCCCAGGAAGGTAGTACCTTGCGATGAGACAAACAGTGCCTGATGTGGTTAAACTCTCAAGCTCTCTGTAAACCATCGATTTGGGAAACTGGCATGTTGTCAGGTTATCATGGCGTTAGACCTTGAAGGCTCTCTGCCCCGCTCCCAAGCAAACAACATCTCGGCAAACTGAAGGGATCGGGAAGGTGAGCTTCAGAGAATGATTCGCTACCCCAATTCTGTAGGCGACAGGCAATGCACGCTCTTGGGCGCATTCTGACAGTGGTCTTCTTTTTTATACATGCTGCCAATGTTTCTTGAAGGAGCGGGGCTTGTAGCATACTTACGATGCAAGTCAGCAAACAATGATGCATGCGGTGTGACAGGCACGTGGAGCATTCTCGCTTCACCTGCCGGTATCAAGCCCTAGTGCATCCACCGGCACCTTCTACACCTTCTCACTGGAAGTTGCCACAGACTGCTTTGCAACGAACCCACACGAATGCCGCCACGTAGCCCAGAAGCTATAATGACCTGAGTTTTAACTAGTACCTAAAGTACATGACATCATTGCCATTGCAGCTTCATCACGTGTACAGAATAGCACATGTTGCCTCAACTCGTGCAATCACGCTGCTGGGATGCATCCAAACCACATCCTGATCGAACTGGCTTTGGGCTGTGAAAATGACCACAGCTATGCTTGGCTACAAAATGCTGCGTGGTATTTCACGGGGACATGACGACGCAGTCCCTCGCAGGCTTGAGGAACTCTGGTATAAGTAAAGCTTCCATTGAGTTTGCTGTGCGACTTCAAACCTATGCAGGACCAGATCTGTGACAGGCGCGCAGAATCTAGCCGGTCCTGCAGCCTTAGCAGGTACGACACCCGAAGGATCACGGCATTGCAACATTCACGACGTCACGACATACAGTGTCATTTGCCGCGACTTTGATGTGCCGGCGTCGCTCTTCACCGGATATCTTCATACCGCGAAGCGAGTCGAATCAGTGACACGCGTGGAACCTGGCACCTACCATCGGTTGTCAAGGTGCATCTCGAAGAGTCGCGGTGACCAAACGCGGCTCCCCCTTGGCGCCAGGCAGAGCTCGCTGCTCTGGAGACTCTGGCGGTAGTCCTGGACTGGGAGCACCGGAAGCGATGCATTCGGCGGTAAGTGCGCGTGGATTTGGGCAAGTGCCGAAGACTCCACCGAAAGGGGGGCATCCTTGTCGCTCATCTTCTTCTCGATACGAACCGGCTTCTTCAAGTTCAGCTTCTGAATACTCCTATCGCACATCAGCACATCGCAATCTGATCTAAAGCTCGCAGCATCCGGGCCAACGTCACAAAGTCCAGCCTGATGGCCGCATAGCGCAGCCCCTTGATGTAGTTCTTGTCCCACTTGCCAGCAAAGAACACCGAGTAGCGCCGGTTCTCTGAGCGCTTGACCACCTCCGGGCTGAGGGCTTAAGGTTTCAGAGCCTGCAGTAGAGCTCGAGGCTTTAAGGCACCTGTGCGGTCTAGAGTCTAGTAGTTGAGTAAGCGATCAGGCTTACCGGTAGGCAGTCCGATTCGATTGCCTGACGACCCATTTGAGCCATCGCGGTGTCGCCGTTGCAAACTAACGATACGTCCAGCTTGCTGTTGAAAGCGTACCTAAGCTCATCCTGCCAAGCAGTGGATGTGATGCAGTTATCTGCACTTACTATCAGTATGCATTCATACGAGGCCGCCAAGGTGCACACCAAACTTTAGGCGATCACGCGTGTCGGCGGTGTTCGCCAACACACTGCCTTGCGGACAAGTGGATGCATCATGCTGCCAAAGAGCTTCTGGTGGGGTGGTCCATCACACCTTACCACCACCCAAACTGCATGTGCTTACCCTGTTTACCCTAAACCCGAATCCGAAGCAGAATCCTTGAAGCTGAAAGCCTTGGCAGAGCCAAGGCTTCTCAGGCCGGGCTGCTGTTGATCGCAAGGGCATTCGCCCAGTGATCACGGCAGCGATCCGATGTGTTCGAAGCTAGCTCAGGGCACCAGCTGGGCTCAACCTTGCCCATGTCCTTGGCTCCGGGGCTGCGCTGTGTGGGGGCTTTCTGGTGAACGGGTTTGAGAGTCTCGGGATGGGTGAAGGGCGAAGTGCAGGGGTTTCAGAGTGGCTGTGCACAACTGCCAGACAAAGACGATGCTTGGGGCAAGAGGCGTGTGCAGAAACCCAAAGATGCCTCCGCCCCATATACCTGCATGCACAGATACTGCAGATTGCAGGTCCACCGGCTAGCTTCTGGGAAGGCTTGGAACAAGTTTCAGCAGTGGCCAGGCCTGTGAAAGTGGGGCCACTGGGATGCAACCTTCCACGCGCACAAGACCCGGTTCCCCGAACCACTAAGTTCTCAGCAGTTCACGGCCTTGCGAAGGGTCCTCTGCAGCTCTCTGGCGGCCCGCTCTCCGCCCTCCCGTCGGCCAGGCACCTCAAAGCAACAGCGTCATTGCGAGCCGTCGAGCCGTGACCTGTGACAGCCTGAGATCGCCAGCACGACGTGAAGGTTGGGATATAGAAGATCGTCGCGGCATCGGGATCTTCGACTCGCAAGGGTGAAGCGAGGGCTCGCGAATGGAAAATTCCTTCCACCCAGTATCCACGATTGCCTGACCTCATCTCCAAACAGACTTGCCGTGATTCTTCTGAAGTTTGAGGGGCTTGGCAGTGCAGGATGCCATAGAAGCTGAGGCGGCTGCTGGCTTTTCCCACATTTGGTGGTCAAGGGATATACAAAAAGACGCAGATTTTGCCGCATCTCCTGGTTCCCGGGCAAACACCAAGCTGGCACTACAACACTGCATGAGCGCATGTGCAAGATGCACTTGCAATTTTCCCGAGTCAGATGGATGGTTTCATGCCGAGCATCTGCCAGCAGCTTGGAAAACTTCTCCTTTTCGAAATCCGCACATGCAAGGGGTAGACGAATGGAGGAACTGAGCGCTGAATGTCCACTCTACTGGCTTTGCATGCCGACCGACATGCTTGCCTTTGCGGAGGCCGGCGGATTCTCGTCGCCTTGCTGCGCACAACGGCAAAAATCTGCAGAACTCCTCTCCAGGGTCAAGACACGAGAATGCCTTGTAAAATCTCGGCTCTAGGAAACCTCCGGTCTGGCAAAACTTGTTCTGCGTAAAGCATCCAGAACGAACAGCGCCGCTTACTTGGTGAAATTACGCGACGAATTTTACCTGCACCTGACCATTTGTTGAGGCTGAAGTCCTGCTGATGTAATTCGCGGCCACGGGCGTCACACTCTTGGTCGTCGACGGCTCGGTTGTAGTTCTCTCTGTACTTCGATTGCTTCCTTCATCTCCTCGAACTTCCAAGAACGGGACCGGACCACAGCTGCGCTTAGATCTCCACAACCACACACACACGACATGAAGCACAAAACGGCTGTCCGACAGAAGCGCTCGTGTTCGCTGCCGCGTCTTCGGCCTTCCAGTGTGTAGGAGCAGGACATTTGAGGATGCTTGAAGTGCTCATAACGATGCTTGAGATCTAGATCCATCTGAAAGGACATCAGCCTGCACAGACGTACCTTTCGGTTCGCTCTCTTCTTCTGGTGCACTTGTAGGCAAGAGGCTTGCCTGGGCAATACAAGTGCCGGGTGGGAATCAGATGAGACGCAAAGACACCTCACACTGCTTCTTGGGCTTGCTTGAACTTCAGAGGAAGTGGCACTATTTACTGGCATCACATCCATGAGGAAGATTGCTATCTGCCATGTAGGTGAAACATCTTGCACTTTCAGGCCTCCAGCAGCTTGTTGCCGATGCTTGTAGCGATGCTGGCGTTGAACCGATGCGTCTGCACCCAAGCTTTCTTGCAGTGGGCAGCACGTCCGAAACATGACAATGACAATTTTTGACAACCGAAACGCAAATGCATTGAAGGCTAAATGTTGCGCGCCTGCGAGAAGAGGGCGTAAAGAATCAGTGGGGCGGTCGTCAGAAGCAGCACCAGCAATGTCCGTCGAATCATGGCGCGTCATCACGGCAGAGTATTTTGAGGAGCTGTCAGAGCTCAGTGCTTCAGAGCAAGCTGTCACAAGGAAGAGACTTACTCTTCAGTGGGCATCAAACCTCTGGAAAGGGGTTCCGATTGCCGAGTTTTTCCCGCTGAAGCGGAATGAGCAACATAACTGCGCCATGATTAGCACATGCTTGGCTCGTGCCGTCATGTCGTGTCTGCTATCTTTCTCTCTCGTCTCTGTTTCCCAACTCGCGAAGCTCTGGACAAAATATGCTCGCGCTACACAATATGTTGCTCTATGTCCCTTCAGGATCCGTTCACGAGAAAGCCGCCAGAAACCGAGGCTGCGGCTGGGAGACGACGTGGCCCAGTGGCGAGTAGTACTGTCAACGCCGACAGCCGAAAGCGAGAAGCTTTCCAGTATTTAGGGATACCTATGTGTATGGCAACAAAATACAAGGAAGAGCGACACAGAAGTGACTGGCAATGTTAGCTAGTAAACACACACATGTAGTCTTGGGAGTTTCTTAGACATCGTTCGTAGCAACAACCTGTGTACCATTATTAATACGTACGCACGTACATATGCAAGTACTGTCCTTGAACGTGTTATCGAATATTTTGTGTTTATTTCGTTGGTGATTGCCTTCTGGAACACCAATTCTGATCAGACTCCATTCACAGCATGAACACGAACAGGATGATCGTCGTACTGCTCATCTTCTGCTGCATCATCATCGCCATCGTGAGCGTCCGGGTCCGAGGGTGACATCGACCGACCGACCGAGCGAGAGAGAGAGAGAG